CACGGTTTCCTTGGCTGATTTCTGAAGTCGATCAACAGGCCTTCCTACTCTGCCTTAGTCTGGAAGCTCTGTGGTCCGTGAAGAAACGGGAAGACAGGGTAGGAGATGGTGGAGGGTGGTGAGATGTCTCCATGTGGGGAATCCAAGACCTGGCCTTGGGCTGATAGGAGAGGCCTGTGCTCAGAGTGGGGGTCTGGGCAGCTCCGTATTCCTCGGAGCCTCAGTTTTTCCATCTGCTGAATAGGAATGACAGTCAATCACAGCAGGGCACAGGTCCCACACCCCGACTGAATGCCTGCTGTGTGCAGAGGCAGCCCTGAGCACACCCACCCTGCCCGCACACAGCAGCCACAGTCAGATGGCAGAGACAGACACCTCACAAGTGGAAAAAATGACACCACCACCCAGGTTCTGTGGTGTCTGCCAGTGCCGGGTGCTGAATCACTGCAGGGCCCCCTCACCCACCCCGCGAGCCCGGGAGGGGGTGTTTATCACTGGGTCCTGGCGTGGGGGACTGCGGGCCTCTCCCCTGACCTGGGCAGGCCCTGACTTGAGGGCGGCTTCCGTGGGACTGATTTATCGGCAGCCGGAGGGAGCCGGAGGGGAGCCGCGGTCCCAGGGCGTGTTGGGTCCCCCCAGCTGGAATGAATCCGGCGGGAGGATGAGTTTGGTCATGCTCGGGTTGTCAAGAACCGGAGAATAATATTCTCTCTGAAAAATCTTCCCCGTGGCTTCCAGCCCGTCTGCCTCTCTTGCTTGGAAGAGGTTGGGGAGTCCTGCATTTATGGTCTATGACAGGGGCCAGCCCCTCACCGTCTCTGAGCCCCAGGCTCCCGTCAAAAGTGGGGAGAGGGTCACCCAGATGCTTGGCTTGTGGGGGTGAGGATGATGAAATCATATAATACACACAGATTAACGTTCGTCTGTGTGCCTGGCACGCCCTTAGGCAACCCACCCCAAGTAAGCAGAGTTATCAATTGTCTGTGACTCGGGGAATAACAGTGTCTTTCGGGAATTTGGCTACTTAGGTCTGTCTGTAGTCATCACCTAGCAAACCCAGCTCCCAGGCGTGGCCCCACTCTCCTCTGTCCCACATTGCAGTTGCCATGGAGTCGATTCTGACTCATGGCCATCCCGCTGTGTGTCAGGATGGGACTGGGCTCCGTACCTGTCTAGTGGCTGAGTTTTCAGAAGTAAATCTTTTTCTCCCGAAACACCTCTGGGTGGACTCGGACCACCATCCTTCAGGCAGCAGCAGAACCTTGAGCTGTTTGCCCGACCCAGAGACACCGGTCCCAGCCATGTTGCTCACCTGCCTGCTGTTTGCAGCCACAGAGCAAAGAGCTAGGAGCCCAGGGCTCAGAAGCTCAGGCTCTGGGTCAGACCTTCCCAGGTCTGCGTCTTGTCACCTTAGCTGCATGACTATAGCAAGGAATGTCATCCTCTCAGCATCCGTTTTCTCCTCTGTAAGGTGGACACAGCCTTACAGTGTGGGCACCTTGAGAGCATTCTTATAAAGCCAAGTAAGGAACCCCTTTTCCTGGTTTTTTTCTCTCTCTCTGGCTGGTGCTAACTACCTCCATCCTCAGCCCCACCAGTGTTGCAGTGCTAAGAAAAAAAACTCCTTTAGGTTAAACAGTCATGTGTTGCTGGGAGTGAACCAAGCTTGGGCTCAAGAGCCACAGGTCAGTTTTGCTAGAATCCAGGGCTGGTTGTTTGCTTGGGAATCTTGAATCTGATCCACAGGCTTCTTGGGGATACCTTCTCCCCAGGAAGCTCTGGACGGGGATGGACATTAGCAGAGAGACCTGGTGTAGAATCCCAATCTCACCACTTGTAATGCACTTTGAAACCTCAGGCTCAGAATCTCAGTCTCTGCTTCCATAAAGTGGGGCAAAGTTTCTAATGCCATAGAAGGAAGCATGCCTGCCCCGTTGGTCCCTGGAGGGGGTGGTGCCTCACAGCGGCCTCGGGGGCCTCTTGCAATGACCTCTACTCGCCCCCAGCCCCTCAGATACTGACAGTCCCAGCAGCCCTGGCTGGGGCTCCAGCTCTGTGCCAGGCCCTAACGGGGTCCAAAGAGTGACAGCATTATCCCCATTTTGTTGTTGTTGTTGTTGTTATGTGCCCTTGAGTCGGACCCGACTCATAGCGACCCTTCCTAGGGTTTCCGAGGCAGTATCACTACGGAAGTAGATTGCCCCATCTGCCTTCCGAGGAGTGGCTGGTGGGTTTGAACTGCCAGCCTTCTGGTTAGCAGTCAAGTGCTTTAGGCACTATGCTGACTGAGGCTCAGAGAGGGAAAGTGGTGGACCCACGCAGTGCTGGGGCTGGGATTCAAGCCCCAGTGACTCTCAAGAAACATGCTCTGACGGTCAGTCCTCACCGTCGCCTCCATGGAGGTGGGAGTAGTCTGTCTTATTTCCTGCCGGGTCCACTGGGCGAGCACCACCCAGCACATGGTGATTGGCGGTGGCCGTTATGTTGATTCCGACTCATGGTGACCCCAGGTGTGCGGAGTAGAACTGCTCCATTGGGTTTTGAAAGCTGTGACCTTTTGGAAGCAGATTGCCTGGCCTCTGTTCCAAGGCACCTCTGGTTGTATTTAAACTGCCAGTAATTAGGCACTAGACTACTAACCAGAAGGCTGGCGGTTCCAACCCACCAGCCACTCCTTGGAAGGAAGGTTGGGCAATCTACTTCCGTAGTGATACTGCCTCAGAAACCCAAGGAGGGGTTGCTATGAGTTGGGGCCGACTCGACGGCCCATAACAGCAGCAGTAGTCAGACACATAGTAGGGCTTCAAGAAAGGTTTCTTAAGTGAATGAATGAGAGAAGGTGTGAAGGAGGCAAGCTTCCTCCCCAGCCTGGCTCCTCCTAGCATGTCATTCCAAAGGTGGGTGTCTTGGGCTCCAGGGTGGGGACCCCAAGCCCAGTTAGTCAGCCTGGCCTCCGCTGCCTGGGCCCATCCCGCTCTACAGGCCGTGTGGCTCAGCTCCCGCGGGAGGCCTCCTGCTTAATCCCAGTGGGCGGTTTGGGCAGGCGGCTCCTGCCTGGCCCGGGGCCCCAGCTGGGCCTGTACGGGGTGTGCTGAGGAGGGCGGGCCGGTCATGGAGTTCAGTATCTGGGTGTGCTTCCTCAGCCAGGGGTGGGCGCCCCCATCTTCAATTTCAGCTTTTCTGACTTTCGTGAACTTAGAAATTCACCATCAGCCCATCTTCAAATCAGGCTCTGCCCCTTCCTGGCTGTGTGACCTTGGGTCGGTCACTTCTCTCTGAGAGTCAGGCTCCAATAAAGGGGATTAATGTGAATACAGACTAGTCATCAACACATATTAGGTCTGAGAACAGAACCAATATACACCTGGCAACAGTGAATTAAAAGTCCTTCAGAATGACTGCTCCATTCCTTCCCTGTCTCAGAACTTAGAGTTCTTGCTACCAGCAGGTGTGAGGCTATAGTCCTCCCCTTTGCCTTTCTTTGTTCAGCCCAGACAGTCCTGGTCTAATTCATACTAAGGTGTGAATAGTTGTCCCTTCCCCTCAAGGGTATCTAAAGTAGACATCACTGTGATCTGAGGTGTCCCTGGTGCTGTGTGAATCAGTGACAAGAACATTGAACAGATTTTTGTTGAGGGCATGAAGGAGGAAGAGACCCCCTCCACCCAACACCCAAAGCCCCTTCATACAACAGTTGTGTGTATAATGGGCAGAGGACACTGGTCTGGTGGTGGAGTCCAGATTCTCTGTGTTTACTGCCCTGAGTACTTCTCCTTCTGCCTTCGTCTGGACAGTGCTTTACAGTTTACACCTCATGTGGACAGCACTTTACAGTTTACACATACACCCTCATACGCAATAACAGACTCATTCATTAAGGAAGACTGTGAGATTGGGGGACACTTGGGTCCCTTTGTGGGGCTAGAACT